ATGTCGGACGAATTACAACCGTGGAGGAATGAATACCGAAATAATGTCTTGGATGTGACCACCAAAAAGGACTCTTGCTTCAATGGCCCAATACTTAATTACTTCAGTCAGAAGTTGAGGTACTGCCTGGTAGCCGGTCCCATCTTTGCGGTTGTCTCCGAGTCTTGGATCAGAGAACGCGAATCGTAACCACTTACAGAAGCCACAAAGAAAGAACACAGCGTAATTAATCCTTTTATATATACTTCAAAAACTCAGCTAAAATGTTTATTCAATTCACATTCGCGAAACGCAACATCTTCCAGTAAGACTATTTTTTGCGGGGAGTGAACAGCCCTTTGTAATCGGTACCGCTTGCTGGCCTGTACCTCTATCATTTTGTTAAAAATAAAACGCGCATGCGTGTAGGTAGCTGGGAATTTCCCCGAAGATTCCCTGAATAAAGCGTCCATAGTGAACAGTACTCATGCATGCAAGGCGATGTCGGGGTACATGAATGTACCCCAGCTAGCGGTTGGATCACCGGCATCACCTCAGGGTAACATTAATGGTCACCGGGCTTCCACGTAGGCCTACGGTGTACATTTACGTATATCGACGTAGGTGAAGTTGATCGCAGATTAAACTACCTTTAAGTGATTCGTACGGAAGCGTGTATAGGACTTTCAGTCTTGTCCTATACATTTGCTATGACGAGTACGATTCCAGAAGTCATTCGAATGGTTACAAATTAATGAAATCACCGAACAGAAGGACGAATTTGCCGAGTGGAATGATTGCAAACTGTTGAAGGTAATAATGTACGAAGTTCCTGGCATGTTTGTCTTTTGAAATTTGTCAGGGGCAAGACATCTCGTAACCGGGACAATTTGTATCCAGCGGTGGGACAACTGCATGGTACCCGGGACGAGTACTCGGGACAACCCGTAACCCAAGAGAAAATTGCATATTATCATAGCTTGTGGCAACGTTACATTAGACCAGCTCTCGCAGGTGTATGTTTCAGTGGTTGCAGTGTGGGCGTGGGGCGGATAGGATAAAAGGGGGTGCAGCATCTTTAGAACCACTGGTCAGCAGGCACTCAAAAGGGCTTTACTGGGCTTGATCGTGATTGACACACCTGTCTAAAAAATAAACGCTTCAGGCTAAACCCTCTGATTAGCAAGCATTGTTTGGGTAAATATGGTTCCAGTTTACACTTGTTTTATGTCTCCCTATTATTTCTACCCTCCCGAGGCTCAACTACAGTCTCCAGGTAGAGATAAATCACGCAGAAACACACCCTCGAAAGCACCCAAAGTTTGTTCATAAAATCAGTCTATAAAGAGGTACCATCTCTGAATGGGAAAGAGCCATCACTTCTCGTCCATTATCTGGAACTAAGAAGCATTTTTTCCGGGTACGAAGTGTCCGGGTTATGATATGTCTCGGGTAGGAATTGTCCCAGGTACGATTTGTCCCACGTGTGAAATTTTGGGTACAAGTTGTGCTCGGTATGAGTTGTCGTGATACTGAGAAAATATACTTCAGAAATGACACATGCCTTCTAGTTCTAGAAGATGGATATCATAGGCCTGCATATATGCAGGGAAAATGAGTGTTGGGTTGGTAAAGATAGGGTTGGTTTTTGTCCATCTCTTAGGGAGGAGGTTACCCAAGTAGACTGTATTTATGGATCGGCATGAACTGAAAGTGCAGCAAACTCTTTGTTTTTGAAATTTTAGTGTAGAATTGAAAGCAATAAAATGACATTTTATGACAAATTAGAATACCTCTAGTCTGATGAATAACTTCAAATTTGGACTTGATGTTTTAAGCCTAATTAGGAACAATATTGAAAAGGTGTCCTGGAATGCATGTCAGTCATAAACAGTCTGGTACCATCCCAATCAACAGTTCACAATTTATAAAACAGTTTCAAGGGAAAAAATCAAAAATGGCGTCCAAGTGAATAGTGTCTGTTCTTTCTCATGTGGACTATTTCTGGACACTTTTGTCAGTGCTTTTGTGTCTAACGTAAACGCTTTCAACCCATCTAGTAGGTTTAAACTTAGGTCTGCATCTAGTTATACTGTCTTATGTCCTTTTTTCATGTTAGAAACAAGTCAAAATAGCATTAAAAAATTGAAAAAAATAAAAATTAAGCAACTTGACTGAGGCCGAGAAACTATTTTTTTTACTTGGTGATAAAGTTAGCGTTAGCATGTTAATTGTTTCATTCATCTTATTATTTCCTGCAGTTACGAGTTTCTGTCATGGAGAAGCATCACAAAGAAGCGCTTCGTAAAAACCGTGTGGCCCTGGTGCAGGATATGGATCTGACGTACGTCTTTGATGGACTCGTGAAGAGGAACATCTTTGAACCTGCTGCCTACGAAGACTTTAAGGTAGATGCCTCGGCTTTTAACAGCTGTCTTCTAATTTTTAGACTCGCATGCTGAGCATTTGACAAGATATAGATGGAAAGGTAGATGTGTGGCAAAATGGAACAAAAATTATTCATGCGAGTGCTGTAAGAAATGAGAAATTTGGGGGGGGGAAATCACCAAAATGTTGCAGTCTGTTGTTACTTCATCGTTCATCAGTCTCGGGGGACCCTTGAGTCATTTGAACTGTTCCATTTTTGCAGTAGTGGTGACCAGAAGTCATTGACTGCAATTACCTGTAATGCTGTGTTACGTAATATGCTGCATATTGCAGGTAATGAGCTTAAAGCATTCGAAATGGCTTGAATTCTCTCGCAATTTCAAACTCAGGCAGAGGGAAAAACGAGACGCAAGATCAACCAGCTTTTCCTCAATGCCTTGGAGAGGCGCGGACCCCGTGCCTTTGGTGCCTTTGTAGAATCGCTGAGGGAACACAAGCATGGCATCCTGGCCAACAAGCTGGACCCTGCCTCGGCACCAAGGTACCCGGCACAGATGGAGCCCAGGCCGGGAAGGGAGGTTAACAACCCCATGGACTCCCTCTTGGTACCCCAGGTGGATGCCAAGCCTGAGCCCATGGATATTTACCCCACCCAACTCCTCAATTCACCTCCAGGTGAGTGCCGGATTGTAATTGAAGAAAAGCGGCATAACTTTTGTACACCACTTCACTTGCAAAAACACCACCTCACTTCAGTATTTGCCGCGATCAGTTCAGGCACTGAATTTCCTGAGGTTCTGCTGATATATTTTTGAACAAGTAATCCGGCTGTGAAGTGGTTAAGACAGTGCCGTACATGTATGCTTCGTAGCACAACCGGGGTCTCAGTTTGCATGGGGGTCACTTTTTTGGGTGCAGCTCCATCATTTGAATTTTTAGTCCAATTTTAGAGGTAGGGAAGAGTAGAGGGGTGGGGCTTGGGCCATTCAAGGGGAAGAGGCAAACAAGATTGGGGCCGCATTAGACCCATCTTTTGGAAATTGTCAATTTTATGTTTATTTTAAAGCAGAAACCGACATGGAAGTAATGTGGTCATATGTATGCAATATTCATTGTCCCACAAATTGTTGCTTGTAGAAAAGTTTTCCTGGTTGACAAATCAGTCCTTTTTTCTGGAAGTGCCCTTCAGAAAAATCATCAGATTCCAATTTGGGCTACATCAATAGATGGATTTTGTTCTTTTTTGTTTGTTAATTTTTTATTGGGGGGGGGCTTTTTATATCTCTAAGCAGAGGATCTACAAGAACCCCTTTGGCCAGGAAGCGGCCCAGCAGCAGTACCCATTACTGGGATGACCGCACCGACCCCTACTGGTCAAGATGACTCTGATGTAGAAAATGTAAATCAGTCAGTCTGTCTAAATTGTCTTTCTATATGTGGGTATATATTTCTTTCATTCCCTTCCACAGATTTCACGAACTAGCCTTGAGGATTTTGTCGGCCGGTGAATCTGTCATTTATAGATGGCACAGATTTGACCACACCTTGCAGCTTTGCACCAAGGGGATAAATCCCAACCCATGATGTTCTTTAACACAGGATGTCCAAAAACACAAAAACAAAACCCAAGAACAGAAGATTTTGGCATAAATTGCTCAGTAATTAATGTGTTTCAATTAACCTGAAAATGCTCAACACCATTGTTGGCATCGATTGCCTTTTCTTTGATATCTTTGATATCGCCATTTCAAATTTGATATCATGGATGAATGACGGAGCATCCTCTTTTTTCACCAGATGAAAAAGGGGTCAAAAGAAGCAAGCACTCAGGGAAAATGCTTTCTATAAGTTACTGAGCAATTCAACCTAAATCTCTGGTTTTCTTTGGTTTCACACCCTGAAAGTAGAAAAACGTGCCCCAAAACTCTAAACAGGTTGTCATTACTGAGAAATTTTTAAAAATGTACTGACTTTTTAAAAAAATTGCAGATATATCAGATGAATTCAGAACCACGAGGGATTGCCATTATCATCAACAACCAAATTTTTGTGGATTTGGAGCTAAGGGAAGGATCTGACATTGATCGTAATGAACTGAGGAATCTGTTTGAAATGCTAGGTTTCAGAACAGTGGTCAAAGATAATCAAACTAAACAGGTGAGATGTAAAATCCTGCTCTCATCATTCCACCGTCTTCTTAAAAACTATAAGGTTCAAGATTGTGCTTTGCAGTTGAGCTCTATGTCGATTTCTTTCTCAAATATTCTGTTCTCAGGAAATGCAGGCAACTTTTTATGAGTTTTCAAAGCATGACCACGGGACCCTGGACTGCTTTGTCCTGGCCATCCTGAGTCATGGCAAGGAGGGCACTATATACGGTGTAGACGGCGACACCATCCAAACTGAGCACATCATGGGATACTTTGAAGGTGGCAGGTGCCCAACATTGGCAGGCAAGCCTAAGCTCTTCTTCCTCCAAGCTTGCAGAGGAAGTGAGTGCCGTTTAAAATCACGCTGAACCAATTATAGGTGTAGAAATGAATTGATTCCTCTCACCCGTATTTTTTGGGCCTCTCCTGGAACCCTAGCTGTTGGTATCAGCAGGCCAACTTTGTCCTCAAGCTATCCTTGGCCACTGTCACAGAGCTGGTCACTGACTGGACGAGGACACTGGTGTTTTCCAACCCGTCAGGGGTACTAGCACCATGGGTGGTGGATGTGACACAATGCACCAAGTCTAGACCTGTTAGTCCATTTGAAGTATGGCAGACACAATGGGAAGATGCTATTTCGTGCGGATAAAATCTTTGCGTTTTCTCCAAATTTCTCACTTTAAATAGTGCCCCCCTATTGCGCTCACCTCAGGTGGAACTTCAGTGGTTTATTCATGTTTACCTGGCACAGTTTTTCTGTTCCTGTTGGATGAAATACATCATGTGACCGTGTATTAACATTTGATAATGCCCGCTGAGAAGTGATAATGCCCGCTGCGTAAATCACGCGCTGGCACCTGGATATGACACAGTTTAATCAGGTCTGATTGATCAGGAGTCTGTGTGCGTTCAACAAACATGCCAAGTTCATTGAAGGGGATTCTGTTGGACAGCTTTCAATAGGAATATAGGCCTACCATAAAATGGATGCGGGTGTTTGGGGAAATGAAAGTAAAACTTTTGAAGAAAATCATTGGAAATCCATGATATGATGACTTCTTTTGACTTGCTGAACATTTATGAATGGGAATAAATATGTGCTCGGCCAGTCTTAAATGTGCGTTTAAGACTGGCTTAGGAGAATGGAGGCCATTAATGCGTGAGCCTGCGGCTCGGGCATTCATCAGTGCTCATTCTTCTGAGCAAGGTCTTAAACATTCGCTAGTTATTGATTCAGTGTGTTCCGTGCAAATACATGTACCGGTGTTCAGTGGTGTAGTTGAGACCAACACAAGACGAGTCACAAGGCCAGATACAAGATGAGTCACAAAGCCAGACACAAGACAAGTCACAAGGCCAGATACAAGACGAGTCACAAAGCCAGATACAAGACGAGTCACAAGGCCAGATACAAGACGAGTCATAAGGCCAGATACAAGACGAGTCGCAAGGCCAGACACAAGACCAGACACAAAACAACTCACAAGATCAGTCAGAAGTAACAGGGTGAACGATGACATATGACTGGCATTGTAGCAATTCCTTTGAATAGCTTGTAACTTGAATTCAGACTGTAAATCTTGCGCTGGTCTTGTTGCGTCTTGTGAGGATTTTTCTAGGTCCCAACTACAACACTGGCTCCTGTTGACTTTGTTTTTAATACTATTGTTATGCAGGACGATATGATTACGGCTTTGACGCACCAGATGCCAATGCAGTTGCCCCAAGTAGTGCCTCAGGTTCCACAGCACCCACAAGCCACTGTGAAAGATCCCAGAGGATGTTGGAGCATGAGTTAGGGACAGAACAGACATCGGCAGTGCCATCCGATCCAAGCTGCCCTGTCAAAGTGACATGCTGCTGGCCTACTCAACAGTACCTGGTAATTTAAGTTGTGCTTTCCTTTGCACTGTAAAGAAATCCAGTTCCTGATAGGGACCATACGGGCTCCTTGGGGTGACTGATCTTTCAAGACTTTAAACTCCACAGTGGTTGAGGTCTGGCCAATGGGAGTTTACAGGCTTATGGCGTATGCCTGGGGTGAGGATTACATTTGAAAAAAAGTTATGACCATATTTGGTGGTATGTGTCAGTCTCAATCACCGCGTCGTTGACACCAGGGTGTTAAATCCCCTGCACGTGAAATGTTGAGTTTAATTGTTTGAGTTGTACTACACCTCTCTGTTACTCAGCTGCCATTGCCATAATGTTGCATTCTGGAGTACTAACAATTAACTGATTTTTATTTTTATAGACTTTGTGTCATGGCGTACGCCAGGGCAGGGAAGCTGGTTTGTGCAGTCTCTGTGTGAGGTCTTTAGAAAGTATTACCAAAAAGAAGATCTAGTCTCCATGCTGGTGAAGGTGAGTTGATAGGACTCGGCAGCGGTGGCCGAATCCAATACTGGCTTCTTTTTTAAGACCAAAGTGACTACAAAGAAATGGAAAGAACTTCTGTGCCTGGGAAGTCATTGGGACTATCCAATGCAGTGGCTTAATTACTTTATACTTGTCTGCAAGGGATGTCACTTTGGCTGTTCACAGTGGCTCACCATCCGCATTTAAAGTCACTAAGGCTTAATCAGTGGCTTACCCTCTGCTGGGAAGTCACTGAGGCTTATTACTATGGCTTACCTTTTTGCATGGAAGTCACTTGAAGTGCTGCTAGTGGCTTATCAACTTTCTCCATGGGAAGCCATTTGAGCTAGTTACAGTGGCTTAATTTCCTTCTGCATTAGAAGTCACACTGACTTCTCCCAGTGGCTTACTGTCTAGAATCGAATTCACTTCGGCCGAAAACAGGCCGAAAAATCCCAAAATCTCTCAAGCGAAAACCATCCTCTCTTCACAGGTCAATAAAAAAGTTGCCCGGGCTTATGAGTCTTCTTGTGGACGCCGGTGCAAGCAAATGCCAGCCCCTGTGGTGATGCTCTGCAAAAAGCTCTTCTTCCCCCCAGTTCGTGCCGAGCGAGGCCAAGAGAGGGTGCAATTTTCCTAGCAATGGCCAGAGGCTGCTTTGGCAAGAACTGCACTTCGCTGGTTTAAGAACAGCTATGAAAAGCAAAATAAAAAAGCTATGAAAAAGTAAGCAGTGCAGTTGCGACGCTACCGACAAAATGAACGCTCCCGGCTAGCGTGGCATTTTTCAACCAATCACTTCTGCTCAAGGCAAATACATTAAAGTGAAAATAATTCCATGAAACACAATTGTTTTCCTTTAATGAACCTTGTGTTGTTCCTGCACTCCCCAAAGATCGTCTTTGTACTTTTCTCGTGGTAGCAATTGCATCGCAGGGGCACCAATATGAATCACAAGCCACATAGGGAAGATCGTTAAGCCTAGAAATAGGTTACCAGTCATAAAGGTGTCACATCAGTTATATAGCCATTGACTGGTTCCCTGCAGCTGGATAAATATTGTTTTGTAAATGCTAAAACATGTACTAGTTCTGTTCTCGAAGTAAAATGTGTTATATTTACAATATACTTTGTGCATGCCACCATGGGTGTCACAAGGGATGGGGCTGGGGCACTTTCCACCCACCGCACACACACACAAAATGTGAGAAAAAAAGAACAGAAAGTGAAAAGGAAAAACAAAACAAATGGAAAAAAAGCACCGAATATGAATGTGCTTGAAAAAACTTCGGAATTGACCCTTTCCACCTCTAATGGCTTGTCAGTGTGCCGCTGCTAAGTACTCCCGCCCCCCACAACGAAAAATCGTGGCGACGCCCGCGCATGCAGCTTGTCTATGGTACTGCTTTGGGACTGTAATAAGCTTAAGATTATAACCAGATTAAGAAGTGTACAAAAAGCAGCTTTGAGCCGTCAGACCCTCTATACTAAAGTTATCAAAACGTTGAATGGAACGTGCACAAGCGTTTGGTCTTTCGTTGAAATTATCATGCCCTGGACGGACTTTTTTACCACTGAATCATCAAACTTTTCTTAATTGCTTTTCAGTGGCCTGGCTCTTATATCTGATCTTCCCTCTTTATTTGCAGAGCATTTCTGAAATTATGCCACTCCTAACACATGGCACTCTTAGAAAAGCACCCTAGTTCCTGTCTTTTTGGAACTAGCCACGTGAGAAAGTTTTTCATTCAGTGGAATATATAAATAATGTAATATTCAGCGGAGAATAACAGAATGCTGCATATCTTTTTGTAAGCCGTTTTGTTGTTACGCTATAGGCAATCACTGAGGTCTTCAGGGATGAATATTTTCAGTTTGGATCTTTTGTAAATTTGTAGCGATGTTGAATGACTTTTCACTTCACAGTCGGAGACATTGTAACTCTTAACTTGGGATACCTCATGCTATTCCCCAACCATATTGGCAAATGAGATCGAGAATTTTCCTCAGTCCAGCCCACAACCTGAGCTCAGCAATTGTGGAATACATGTACAGGGTATGTCGTTGGTGCAGAAGATCTGACAAGGTCTGCTGCAATCGTCATTTGGTTGGCCCGACCTGTAACTCGAGCAGAGGCCCTCACGTGTGACAGGTCACATGTCTGTTGATGTATGTGGCGGGAAATTAAATAGGGTTGACAAACTTTCTTTAAATGGGCGTAGTCGTAGTTCCCATGCAGAGATACATGTAGGTTTACGTGCTTCCAGGAGAGTACGAAGATGCAATTTGCTCTCGTTAATCGGAAGAGCTTTTAATATGTTGAAACAAACATTCTCTGAATGCAATATCATGTTTAACATGCATACCACATGTGTCTCATTACACGTGTATCCCACATGATTTTTAAAGAATTTATAACTATTTTTGTACGCACAGCAGGTCTATGTCACAGATGCAGTTCATTATTTTAATGAATCGATATTTTTAAAAACAGACTGCAATCTGAGTTTGGCTCAGCTTGTGACCTGGAGCAGGGTTAAATTGATGTCTTTTGTCAGAAACCAGCCTTGGCCGAAGGTAAACGTGGATGTGGGATGAATAAATAGACTTGCGTTTAGCTTGGTTTTTATTTTGAGAACAGATCTAGACTCCCCGGTCCTTCATTCCCTTGAGTTTCAGTGGTGTCCACGAGCGAAATAAGTTGAAATGACAAGTCTGTAAAGAGAATTCTGGTCTACGGTGCCACATTTGGATTGGCAAGCCGCCCCATCGCCTGTGTACCGTATGCATCAATTTTAAGGCATTTCTACTCAGCCTGCAGCGAGAAACTATTCAATCTGACGTTAAGGTTAAGACGTATGACCCAATCTTCAAAATGCCTCAGAAGAAAGAGGGGAAAAAATCAGAAAGCTGAGGGGCTACGGAATACCCACAAAAGCGTGTGCCGACCTCATACATCCAGGCTGTTACCACAATTACCGTTGGTTTTGTGTTGGTTGGTGCTACATTTCTGGTATTTCTATCAGTTAGGTAGAACCAAAGTTATCAGGTCATTTTGACCTAAAACCAATTTAACAACCCAATTAGCGGCTGTAAAGAGGAAATGTTTGCATACCGTTGACCTACCAGCCCCGCAGGAAAAACTACTGCTCCAATGAGGCCCTGTATCAATCATCTCAACCTCTTGGATGAACCCCGATTGAGAAATTGAAAGTAAGTTTTAACCTGTTGATAGCCTGGAGCGTGTATCAACGCATTAATCTTCTGCGACACTGGCAGCGACCCGAGGCATACGACTCTTCTGCTGGGGTTGGCGAGTGATATATCGATGGCCTCTTTGGCTCCTCGCCCGCCGAGTAAACGGTTTAAGAAGGTAAACAGGCGACGATGTTCCCCGCGTCCCAAGAAGTTAAGAAACACCTCGGATAGTTTGAGCGCCTACAACAACAGCGGAGAATCCTTCAATCTAGCGGGCTTAGTACAGAGATCATTGGCAGTTACGGTCTTACAACGGTCAGAAAACGCCTTGAACACTGACCTTTGGATTAGCCCTTGACCAATGAATATTATAATTGATTTGATACTTTGTGAAGACAAAAATACCCCCTCGTACCCGCTGTCCCACCACCTAATGTTTCCTTGTGTCGCTGTCTTGACAACCGAGCTTGCAGAAAGCAGATGGCAGGTTGGAAACTTCGAATCTCACCGTGTCTCTTGTTTGGTGATTCGGTAACGATGCGCTGTCTAAAACCAATTTGAAATTATACGCGAACTTTTCTGCCCGACAGCTCTGCATGATTTGCCCTTGCTGCAACCACACCAAGTTTCATTCCTTGAAGATTGACATAAATTGCTTTGACATTCGATGAGTTTTCCCATTTTACCCCGACTTGCTCTCGACTAAGCTGTGCCCCATTTTCTGCCGTCTTCGAGTTTGAATTAATGATGCCCTCACTTATCTTTCATTTGCCATTGCCTGTATTTTCCGCAGGTTTAGAAAAACGACAGAGAGAAAATGTTATTATAAGAATACGTAAATTTGGCAGAAATACATGTATATTTCAGCTGAGGTGAAAATTTCTGAGGAGTTAATAATTATTTAGGAGATTGTCACCGGTGGCACGCCGTAATTTCCAAATATGATTTTCCTCTCTGATACATTTTATACAAACGAATGCATTGATCCCAGCTCTCGTATATTCCGTTTCGACAGTTAATTTCATTGTTATTTATGCGACGTTTTTGTTCGCACCTTGACTTTGATAACAATTCGTTGACATAATGGACGATCCCAAAAGTTTACTCTAAGAAATTTGCATATGAATAAGGAGAGCACCTGTTGAAACTGGGCCACAAAGACAAGAAGAATTTTGGTGAGCAGTGCTGACGACGCAGATGACGTGACGATGCTTGCCAACGGGTTCAAAATGGCGGACCTGTGCTGAGTGGTGGTCCAGTTCAGAATTCGCGGTATTTGAGTGAGTGGCCTTTCATTTCCAATTTGATGAAGTTGCGTTGATTTCTCATTAGGCTTTTGTTTATGGCAGCTTGTACATGTACTTCGCCGTGGCGAGATGAGGCATTGACTCTGGATGATAACGCAGAAGTCGAGGCCTGGCCCTGTGCGCGTCACAACATGAACAAAAAAAATTGACTGAATCCTGGCCTTATGCGCCGAAAAATATTCATTATTTTTTATTCGAAAGGCCCAGACGCGGCTGAGTTCAACGTGTGGGGTTGGACAATAGAAACACTCACGTGACAGCTTCAGTATGTTTACCCTAGATAAATCCGCAAACTGCTGACGCAGTCGGGGGTCAGACCCGAACTTGTTGGTTGCTTGGAATTAAGCAAATCGTCTGCGTGTGGTACATTCATTCTCTGCCTCACTGAAAAGATTGGAAGTTGAGGAAATTGGTTGTGGAGATTGACCGCTTTGATTTTGGTGCTGTCCTTGCATGAGCGCAAAAAATCTCCAGCCTTGGAGAAGGCTGTTTCTCTCACTCACAGACTGCTTAACTATGTACATGTACTTAACGACAAGGCTGACTTCAGAAGTCTGAGGAAGATTTGTTCAGCTGTGAGAGCAGGGAGCCCAGGTGTTGCCAACTTTCCAAAGTGAAAGAAGGAGTGAATGGAACAGGAGAAAGCTGAAGCTGTTTATTAACCATTGAGCGGGTTGTGGAGTTGAATTCCGTTCGCCATGGCCAAGCTGTTGCTATTCAGGTCGGTGGACCAGGAAGCCCTTGCACCGGGACCATCGACGGTAGACACCGCAGCTCAGGAGGGGGACAAGCCAGAAATCTCTGGGTAAGGATTAGTGCATGGTTGGCAGTCCTTTGTACTTCTAGGACATTCAACTTCGTTGTTTGTCTCATTTTTAGAAGAACGACTAACAGGTAATTAATGCATCAGTCCGAAAATATCTTTGAAGCGTGGTTATCCATCGTTTCTCGTCGGCACTGGTTTTAATCAATTTGTGGAGGACATGGAAATAAATTTTGACCTGCGGTTCAGAGTCTAGTTGTGCCAAATGAATGGTTTTGTAGTAGCGACTTCAGTCGATCCACTAAAATATAGATTTGGGATTTAGCATGCACCTTAGCACTAAAGAAAACAGAGAAATCAGCCTTAATTCGTTATGAGAGGGGCATTTCCTAAAATAGTCGCACACCAGGCTGAAGCCATTTATTGTGATACACTAAACAATGCCAAAGAATGGAATGGTATGGCCGCTAGACTAGGAAAATTGAGATTAGAGACGGTTGATATTTCTCATCTGGAGTTTTATGAGTTTCTATGAGTATGCCATTTACAAAAGACGAGGAAATTTTGCAGGTCATTCAACAATGGAGTTTACTTTTTGATGCATCGCGATGGCAGTGCATTACTTGATGGCCTGACGTTGCCAGTAGCTATTACGTGCCAGTTTTTCCTCGCCGTGAACCGAACATTTAACTGGCTGTCAGCAACCTTCAACATGTACATTGCCATCGGCGCGCAAATACACCAGGGCCCCAAAACGTTGGGGATAAAATAAACACCCGTACAGTAATAGCCCGTCGTTTTATGCAGGCGAGTTCGACGGTCACAGTGTTTACTTGCTTATGTCTAGCACTACAGTCTAGAATTCGAACTTCATGAAATAATTTGCCTCGTGTACTTGGCAGAACGTAGTATTTCAGTAACGAGCATAAATTATCTGATTAAACTGTCCTTGCTGAGGTTTAAGTAAGGAAGTAGGCCTACTTTTTATCGAATCACCTAGGGTGCAGTGGTTGCAACTTAATTGTCAGAAGGTGACAAAAAAGGGCACGTCTGAAGTTTGAAGAACATTTGGTTTTGACATTGGAATTTCTTTTCTCATGGGAATTTCTCTTTTGAGCGAAATCTCACCAGTTGGCCGTGTGAAGACTTTATGAAGTTGTAATCGGTGGTGGTGATGGCGGAGGAGCCGGCGTTTTTGTGCAGAAACAAGTGGTAGGCCCACCTCAAACCACAGCTTTCTGCACAGGCAATTAACTTGACACACCTTACAACAAAAGCAGATTGCAAGTTTGCGTCTATGTAAACATAAACTCTCACCATCATTTAATTACTTTGTGTACGTTCCCTGGAGGTGCGAATTGAGCTGTCAGGTCAGTAGAGGGCGCTATATCGTGTGTGCAAGAAACCAACGGAAGGATGAATTACGAGTCCGCGCGCACACGGCCCGGCGAAAGCGGCCGAAGTTTTATGTCGAGAAACGTTTCGCTGGGCACAAAATGTGATATAGCGAGGGTTGCTGCTTGAAATGCGACTGGACAGGAGGTCCTTTAAAAAGGTTTTAGAGGTGTTTCAGTTTGAGTATATCAGGTTAAAGGTTAGAAGTGACCTCAAAGAAGGATAAAATCGTTACTGTCGAACCCTCCATGGTCAAACAGATAACCAAGAAGTTTAATAACCCTCATAATTTCACCCTCTAGTACTTCTCCTTCAATCTGTCCCTATACTGACAGATCTCCCCTTCGTGGTGGGTGACTTGACCTGAATTTTTTATAACCAAAGCAGAGGTAAAGTATCCCATTTTTATTGGTACATGTATATATAGGGCCAATGTACAGTATACTGGACAAAAATGTCGAGAGCACTGCACTTAAACCTGAGGCGGTTAAAGAGTTTAGCAATCATCACCAGTTAACAAGCAGGTGGGTTGAAAAAAAAAGAGAAACTGTGACAGGATTTGATCTCTTTCTCAGCTGTGGTGTAATTGTAGCCTATTAAAGCAATTTGCCTCCCCTGGGGTCGAATGAGGTCAGAGGTCGGGACGAAGCTCCCGGAGATCGGCTGAGCGGAGAGGGAAATCTTGAGTGTTCTTGTGAATCTTGTTGGCTTGTGTGAAGGTATTTCGGGGTGGGTCCACTGGGACAGACCCGAACTGTAAGTGGTAGACGTGCAAGTGTGTAAGCTGTGTTTCAAACAAATTGTTGTTGAACGAGCTGATTTTATTTCGAAGATGTAATCTTTTCCACCTTCGGGGGTGCCCATGAGAGCCGAGGGTGGATCCGGAAGGGGGGGGACGGGGCCACGTCCCCAGGGACAGGTGTGCTTTCAGTTTGTGACACGTGATGAGAGCTAGAGAAAGGTGATTTGGGGTCATT